ATGCATACTGTATATAATCATTTAGTAACCAATTACATATTTTTTATAAATAAAAACAGTAAAAACGTACATGTCAAATTTTGTTAAAAGTTTGGTTAGAATTAACTTTCAGAGGAACCAAAATTACGTCACACTTTTATGGTGGATAGTAATACGTCATATTAGTGTGACGCAAAAATGGTTCCACTGAGAGTTAACTTCTAACCACACTTTTGATAAAAACGTCAAATTTAACATATACATTTTTACTGTTTTTAGTTTTTTTCTTAATATTTGCAGGTCACAAAAAATATTTTAAAGGTATGTAATTGGTAACCAAACGATTACATACTAGATGCATGTTATCTAATTACTTTAGGAATATATTTTAAAAAAGTTCAAAACTATATAATTTAGGCAAACAAAACGCACTTAAAAGGTCTACTGTCAATGGGAACATAATTACATTATCACTAATTTAGCGTATTATGAGTTCGCAGTAAAACTGATTCCATTCGTTATTGGTTTTGAATCGGTTGTTACACTTAGAAAATCGAGCTCGAGTGGTAAACCACTAAGGTCAAAACGTACCCGTATTTCGAAAATAACCAAAAATACGTATGATTTCGCCGAAAATTCCCTAAATTTTACACGATTTAAGTGGTTTCGTGGAAATCATTAAACAGGGTGTTTCAGAATAAAGTTCCGTAAACAGGGATACTTGTAGAACTTAACTAATTATTAAGAATAGCTAAATATAATTTTCCTGTGAACGTGCCGGCTTTCATTCTACAGGATGATAAAGTGAATTTTATAAATATATAATTTTCTAAATAATATATTCCCTTACTGTAAAGATTTTAACTTAAAAATATGTACTTGTTAGTTAATCACCACTATTAATTAATACATTTCATTTCTATAAATTACGCATTGGTGTAGAATCAAGGGCTGAGAAAACAATTTTAATCCAAACTTTTTGAACACCCTATATTTCATAAAAGTTAAGATTAATAACACAGGTCAACAAAATGAAAATTGGAGGCAAATGGTTGCCCACTAGGTAGACTTGACCAAAAAATGAAAGACAAGGAACCGGAGGTTTGGATGAGCTGAGCAGAAGTATACACGTATTCGTACACTTTCCTCATGACTCCAATATAAACATGAGCTAATCTTTCCAACATAACCTCAATAATACGCCGGGAACTGGTCAAAAATGTCAAAAAAGCAAATCAATGGCGTAAGTCCTCCATTGTTGAATCTATAGGGATTTTATGTATTTGAGAAACAGAAACCAACATATGCGTAATCAAAATCAGTCTTGAATTTTGCCATAACCTCAAAAATACGCAGGGAAAATGGCCAGACTTGCGAGCAGATCGATTGGCTTTCTAAATGGACTCAATCTTGCGAATCCTTATCCGTTTCCGGGCGCATACTGTCAAACCAATATTGGCATGATCCAAATCGGGCCGAAATTTGAGTACATCCTCTGTCTTATAAATGGTAAAGAAATCTTCCTGACTCGGAATTGATGTGTTTTTGGTATAAATTGTAGAGTAAAAAAATGCTTAGAAAAGTTAGAGGAATCAATGTGAACTTTTCCAGATTTTTTCGACACAATTATGAAATCTTCGAAGTTGGCCAATTTCTTAAAAATGGAAAATCTTGCTCAAAAATGCAAAATCTGAAAAAATTCCTATCGATTTCTGGGGCATTTCTAAGCACTTTTTGTTTTATACAATTTTTCTCAAAAACCCATCAATTTTGAGTTACCCGTGAAGGCACCCACTACACCCCTCATTTACACCCCAGGGGGTTGCGTATCTCACGGATCGCACTGAGAATATAAAATATATTGGAGTCATGAGGAAAGTATACGAATACGTGTATACTTTTGCTCAGCTCATCCAAACCTCCGGTTCCTTGTCTTTCATTTTTTGGTCATTTTTGCTACTTTTTTTTTAGGTTACGGGAAATCCTGACGTGCTAGGGATATTTCTGACGCCGGATTCGGATTCAGGAGGGTAAAATACATTAAGTCTACCTAGTGGGCAACCATTTGCCTCCAATTTTCATTTTGTTGACCTGTGTAATTATTCCTCTCGCAATTTGTCACAAAAAAGGGGCTCTTGGTTGAGCTTTGTAAACATTCCATTTCTGAGGTTTTCAGTTTTAGCTCTACTTACATGTAATAATCAGTTACAAACACAACATAACATAAGGCAGCAGAACATCTATTCTCCAATGATAAAAAATAATAGAATGAAATTCAAACAAACTAAAATTATAACACAGTCGAGTAGCTTTGGAAAATACTTATAGACTCTTTTCTAGTTCTTTAGGGGTAAAAACGCCGATGCTTCACAAATGCTCAAAATATTTGATAACTGGTTTTGGAAAGAGGAGGAGAGAATAATAAGTAATAAAACAGTAACAACATATGTATATTTAAAATAAGTACAAAATAAATAATAAATTTATATTTAAGGAACAAATATTGATTAAATTAATATTGATAAATGTAAGATATATTAATTTGGGACGAAAATGGAAAAATTGACATTTATATAGAAATCAATTAATTAACTTAAAACAAAACCAAACAACACTTTTAAAATAAAATACAATTGAAAAAATCTCAAAACCATATGTCACAATAATATGGGCGGCCGTTTTTCTTTTGACAAAAACTCCTTTGGCTAATACCTCACCAGGTATTGAATTACGTTAAAAAAAGCAGGGAGAAAATATTTTCAACACTCTACCTTTGATTTTGTTACTAAGGAGAAAGTCAATCTTGGATCGGTTTCGTCCTTATTAGGACTCTTCAGCAAGAAATAGAAAATCTCGACTCCAGTCTCTAATGGAGTCTGATGGCAATATGAAATTCACTCGAACAGCGGGTTGAGCATGTGTAGATATTCAACAATCGAAAAAATCTCAAAGCCATGCGTCACAATATGGGCGGCCATTTCTCTTTTGACAACTACTCCTTTTAAACCCCTTGTAAAATAATTTAAAGACATTTACCTCTAGTACACACGTTGATGCATAAAACTTTACTTTACACATAAGGGTACTTCGGGAATTAGGATCCCGAAATACTGTCTAATGGCTAAGAGGCTAATGTCCAGAGTTTCGGACCGCAGTCCTCACTCGAGTCTCCTACTCATGACTTGCCTATTTAAAATCCAAAATTCACGTGACCGTTTTACTTTTTAGAATCTCAGGGTACTACCTTGGATAATTATTTACTTCAATATAAGCCATTGACTAAAGTAATAACCTAATTGTTTTATTTCAATACTTGTTTTCTTTTTAAATGTTAAGTTAAAACTTTAAAAAATACTTTTAGAATTTTTGTGAAATTCTTTATATTTTACTAATAATAATGCCAATTATTACACACACATGAAAGTTATGTACCTACATTATAGAATTCCAAAAATGCAAATTTTTATTAAGGGCCGATTTCATAATCAATTTTAGAAGATATAAAAGTCCATAAAATCATGGTCCCATTAGTTAATGGACCTTTTAATATTCATTATGAAACATAGATTTCATGTTTGAGTAGGACAAAAACTGAAAAATTTCGGAAATGGCATGTTCTACAGATATCAACCAATAGTCCTTTTTTTCTAACAAATTGGTTAGGGTTTTCAAAATGTCTGGGTTAAAATGTTTTCTTAGCCCTTGATTCTACGCCATCGGTAATCGTAATTTATCGAAATAGAGTGTTAATAACTAACTTATACATATTTTTAAGTTAAAAATTTTACAGTAAGATAAGATATTTAGAAAATTATGTATTTATGAAATGCACTTTATACCCTGTAGAATGAAAACTGGGGCATTTATAGGAAAATTATAATTAGCTTGTCCTAGCAATTAGTTAAGATCTACGGTACTTTATTCTGAAACACCCTGTATAATTTACTATTTTTTGGGATTCTTTTCTTGTTTTTTGGTCAACCTTTTTTTTGCTTTTTTGTTTTTTTTTTTTTAGAGCAAAACATTGATTTCAAAGTGACTTCAGTGATGATTTCAACCATAATTTTGGAATTTTTGTGATGATTTTGGAAATTTCAAAATATTTATAAGCAATTTTGGTGATTTCAATCTAGATGTAATAGATGTTGCGTTTAAGGTAAACATTTAGAATTGATAATGAATGCACTCAAAGTATGAATTAATAATTCTGAATCAGTTCAAGATTCTTTCCAAGAACAAAGCTAAAATACTTTAAAATTACTAAAAATACAAGTAACGAGAAAAAAAACTTTTTCAAAAGAACCTGTTTTGTCCAATTAATTTTCCAAATTGTGTAAATTTTTTCTATTAGTAGATGCAGAGAACATGCAATGACTAATGCTCACATATAATGTGGCAGCTCAGAATAAAATGGGCACGAAATTATTGTTGATAAGTATATGAATATCCGAAGCAGTCAATTGTAATGTTAATTGTTAATTTATTTCATATACAGAATGCAATGCTTTCGTGATCATTCAGTTAAAAGTTAGTATTGCACTGGCTACCGAAGATACTAAAGGTTTAGCTCGTTAATTTGTTAATAAAAGTTAAATTTGTATTTTTGCTACTTACTAATTTTTTTGAATAGTACTTACAATCTCAATAGTTTTGACCCACGAGTTTTATTATATAATAAATTATTTAAAATATGCAAGTTTAAAAACTTTTAAATTGTTTATTTTTTAATACTGGAGTGTAAAAATAAATTTAATAATTAAAATAGGCTATTTAACAAAATCGAATTATCAAAATTATCGAGATTTATATTAATACTTAAAATACTTTTTCTCAAATTTAAAATTTGCATACTTATATCAAAAGATTTCCAAATTTAAAACAGTATGTAACGTTAACATTAAATACATCTACATGCCTAGAAGTTAACCTGCTTATATTAGTTTTGTGTTTGTAGACATAAATCCATTAAAACCATAAAAAAAGGTAATCATTTCGGGCTAAGTAGAAAATAAAACTGTTACCTGTTTCTTTCGCTTAATAACGAAATATGACAATTCCATCCACTTTCAAGACCCATCTTTTCACTAAATACTCTAGACCGAAGTTCGTTTTCTTTACTAAAATGAACGAATCTTATACATGCTCTCTCCAATTGCTCTATTAACTGAACCTACATACAAAATAAATTAATTTAAAAAATGTTACAACAAAATTACTAAAAAAAGTATACATATTTTTTAAATTAGAGAGTGTCCATTTAGTGCGTACAAGTTCTGTGCAAATTATTGTGAAAAATGATTAATTTAAAATTTAAAGAAATAATGTATTGGTAACAAAGAATAGTATTAAAGTTAAATTGTTTTAATAACAATTATGTTTAGATCCGCATTTGTAAGTTTTTCAACATATTTTGGCTTAAAGAAAAACAAACAAATATGTTGGGGCTAAGCAGAGATAACAATTGTAATTACAAACAAATATCATGCTGTCATTAATAAGACATATTCTTAAGCCTGTTACTCATAGTGCGTGATGCGATGCGGCGCGCGACGGTGTGATTCTTTTTATCCAACGTTGCTGCAATCGATGCAACACAATCCATCATTTCAAGAATGGTTTTTCCGATTAGATGTGACAACTGACATCTGGATTGCGGGAATTAAGCAAAATTAAGGAGTTAATTAAATATTTAACTGTTCTATTGTGGGAAAAATCGAAAAAATGGGCTTTTAAAATATATACTTTCAAATTAAGGTATATAGGTAGGTATATAGGTACATTCAAATAAAATTATAAACACAAATTTTAATCCAAAATGTCAACTGTTATTTATTTTAACGGTCAACCATAAATAAACAACGGTGAAACAAACCGATGGAAAAGACACACGCAATGCGCGATTCGTCGATGCGTGTATCATTTTTTTTATGGTTCGTCCAAAAACCGACCGCGGAATCGCCGCACAACGTATCGCATCGGCGCACTGCATCATCCTCACTATGCAAAGATTCTTGCATCAATACATTTCATCGACGCATCAACGAAGAAGCGGACACACGCTGTTAATTATTTACATATCTTAAAAAAACTTCAATAAATTTCAAAATCTAGTAGATGTTAAATTGAATATAAAGAATTTTCTACTAGATTTGACAACATGGCTTGCATTTTGTAGGTGGGGCTGTACTACATTGTGTTGCTGGGATTTACAAATATCTCTCTCTCACTCACTCATTCTCTGTATGTCTCTCTCTGTATCTTTTTATATCTCATCTCTCTGTATCTTATCTCTCTCTCACACACACCCACCCATACATACATACATACATACATACATACATACATACATACATACATACATACATTCACCCACACAGTATTCTCATTGTTACTTTATGAATAGGTAACGGATTATTGCTTACGGCATAAAAAAGTGGCCTAATTTTGATTCTACTTAATTCTAACCATACTTCTAACAATATCTGACATACGTTTTTACTATTTTTTTGTTTTAAATATTATTTTTAGGTCATAAAAAGTAGTTTAAAGGTATGTAATTGGTTATTAAATGATTATGCTTACTCTAGGAATATATTTATAAAAGTTCAAAAACATCATAATTTAGGTAAATAATATGAACTTAAAAAAAGATACTGTCATTGTAATTGTCTGTGGAACCATAATTATGACACCACTAATTTAGCGTATTTTGCCTTTTAAGTTCTAAAAAACCGTTAATGCATATCAAAACGGTATATTACAATATTCAATTTTTTTTATACATATAAAAATAATTATTAAAAACATTGTTGATCCCTACCATATCTATTAAAGCTTGGTACTGCATAGTAATCATTCCGATGAATATTTGATTACATTGTATCCGAAAGCAGCTTTCTGCGTCATTCACATTCTCAGTGGGACATTCGTTATAAAGTAAAGAATCTACAAAATAAATTAGAGTTAGAGCTAGCGGATACATACAATTTTTACATTGATCTGAATTTTCCAAACTGGATTGGAAATTTTTCTGTAAGAATGGCCAAATATATTATTTTAGACTAGCGACATTTCATAATCAAGTGGAGAAACTTGTAATATGGTGTTGTGGCGGCATTAGTTTCCTTGATTAACAAAGGTAGTGCTAAAATTTACAATAGTTTTCAAGCAACCAGAGAAGTAGTTTATCTGGCTAATCAAATTATAGATTAGCTTTTGATCTGTAGATCCACTATGATTTGACTGAACTGTGCATTATTTGTAATAAAAACAAAATAATCACTAGAATATATTCTTTTTAGATGCACAATTTTTGTTACTTTATGTCCACTGAACACTGATTTTCTTAATAATATAAAAAGTCTGATCATTGTACTTAACAATCTATCATTAAGGATGCCACAGCACTTCCGGTTTTTCATAACATGATATAAATTTGAATTTTCGTTAATCCTTTCCTACATAGATGTAGCGACAATCTTTAACCTCCATATTTTGTCCAAGAGTCATTCAGCTAAATAATCTAAGCAACCATACTTTCTGTTTATGTTTTCAATTAAAAATTGGGTCTGGTGGGAAAGATTTATCAACTCCACATATCGGCAGTTATCTAGTAATACAATTGTATAGCGAGGATTTTCTCGTTTAATCGGAATTGAATAGTTAGCTGGCTAATTGGGGTCGTAGGTACTTTGCTATAGGGATAAATACCTATTGTGTAGGTATATTAATGACTGTAAGTGGCACTGACCTCGCTTAAACTATCTAAATATATAAAATCGTTTGTCCTGACTACGATACTACCATATAAAACTTTCATATGGTAGTATCGATTTTTTTCAAGGTAGGATCTTGAAAACTGGAATTATAGGTACTTATCATAAATAATAACTTATTTCAGGGATCCTGGATTTTCACATTTTAAGGGGGAGAAACGAGGGTGAAAGTTTGTTTTCATTTTTTTAATGGAAGGACTTATAAAATTGAAATTATAGCTACTCATCATAAATAAATAAAGACGTATTTTAAGGTTTTTGGATTTTCTCATTTTAAGGGGAGTGACAGTTTTTCTTGTATTTTTGCCTTTCGTTTAAAACTATGTACTTTTTCAAAATTTCTGTGCGGGTTTTAGTTTTGGGTTTAAATAAAACATTTTATTTTGTCTATTTTTTTTTGCTCTCCGGAAAAAAGTAGTCTCACAAATTACGTCGGACCAGTTACGTTACTGGCAGAGTGCAGGACCAGTTAAGGGTTAACAACCAAAACAGTAAACTTCCAAATTTATCTAAGCAAACAAACTATTTCTATCATTACACTGTACGTGTGTTTTAGTATAATAATTCTTCATCAATTTAACAAAATAACTGCTATTTCACTTTAATATCTCCATACACATGTAGGTATTCAATACAATAGGAATTAGAAACAAAACAAATTAACTGGTAATTCAGTCACATGCTATAATATTTTTATTTTAAGGGGGGAGTAAGAGAGAGGATTTTTTGTTTTTCCAGGACCATTTAAATGTTTCCAAATCTTATTTTGAATTTTCATATAAACTTATCTAATAAAGAAAAAATAATAAATTGACCACTTGCAAATGCAAGAGTCGGGAACCACCGCTGAGACTGTCAAGTGTCAGTCGTTCGCCATGTTTCGACCAAAGCGTTCCAGAGTCAGACAACATAATTCAAGTATATGATTAATTAAAAATAATTGTTTTTAAATAAAAACTTAAGGTTCGTTACTGCAAGCAGATTGTTTAAAAATACCGCGAGAATAAGGAGCATTACGTGAGACTCGGTAATGAATCGTGAGATCTGGGATTCCTGCTCCTAATACACCGACGGCTAGAAATCGAACCATTCATACGCACAATAATACCATGATTGGTTTTTGTAATTTGTAATAATTAGGAGAAAACAATTTTTTATTAAATGGAGGTTTGAATACATAGTGACTTAATCGTTGACCATCATGGATGCCAATTCTTTGATCACAAATTTTCCTTTTTCAATTTTGAATCCTTGAATATCAGTTACAATTCTCATAGTGGAAGAACGCTCTTCTTCATTGTGATTTTTTTTTTCAGATTGAAGAAAGCGAACTTTGCCTGTTGCTCTACAGGACACCTTGTATTTATCATATTTTAAGTTATGTATTTTAATGTTTTGTAAAGGCCCCTGTATCAATAAAATCGTTATTATTATTATTATTATTATTATTATTATTATTATTATTATTATTATTATTATTATTATTATTATTATTATTATTATTATTATTATTATTATTATTATTATTATTATTATTATTATTATTATTATTATTATTATTATTATATTTTTAGGTTTTTAAATTTTCTTATAAAATTTTGCAACTCTTTTTAAAATGCAATATCTTGTTTATTTTTGTTAAATTTTTGAAATATTTGGTCGACCGTTTTCTATACTCTGGACGCATTATTGACCAAATTTCTATAGTAACACTAGTTTTATAATTTTCATTTAATCATGCGCATTATTTTTGTTTAACAATTTTAGATGCTGGGAAATAGAAAAATGTTTTTCGTGTAATATAGGGCAGTAAGCTGAGGTATTTGTTGAAGAGGGGGTGTCGGTTTCAAATTCAATTTTTAACACAACAGACCCTAATTGCAGAATTCTTGAAAATTAAGAAACATTTCATATAATATTGCATACCGATTGCTTTCAAAATTTAAATCATTATAGGGATATCTTTCAGAATTCAAAAATAATCTTATGTTGTTCAAATTAGAATGGTCAAACTGGCTCATGTCTTTAGTTATTTATGCTTTTCTGGCTTTTTGAAAACCAATTACATGTCTAGGTGTTTCAATTTTCGAAGAAGTCTTTACTGTCCATGTATGTCGGCTAGAATTATTTAATGAGGGGTATTCAATAAGTTGCCAAGAACGAAATTTTATTGGTAATTCTAAATTGTTGTTTAGTTAAGTAAAGTTGGTAGCTTAAATTTGGGTGGATATGTGGAACCTTTCACAATATTTTAGTTATTTCAATTTTAGGTTTTTCAATTCCTATTATTGCATCAATATCATCACTTGTACGAATTAACACTAATTCTTGCTTCATATTCATTATAATTTTTTTAAAGTCCTCAAAAAAGACAGACAATAGTTTTAATGGAATACATACAATGAAATTGCCTTCCGCATTCACTAATATTTTTTGAACTGACTCTTTTGGATTATAATTTTGAAACCAGCCGGCATTTTCAAGTGAAACACTCTCATTTTTGTTAAAACTTAAAGCCCACATTTCTAACTGAGTTTATTACAACCCCATTTAATTCATATCTTAATTCACGAAACAAGTATGCTACACAATGGTGTAGCATACTTGTTTATAAATTTAAATTTAGTTGATACTTTCCCAGCATTAGTCAGTAATTTACCTTTATATATAAAGAAAACTTTCTGATGGTAACGTATACGCATCTAATTCCTGAATAGAAATACGTATTTCATCATTGTAATTAATATTTCCGGTAATATTTGGTTGATATAAATGTAACTGATTTTCTTCAATGGTTAAATCATCAACAGGTTCTTGGGTGACTTGAAACATGTCCATTTATAAAAAAATGTTTATTTTTAATGCTATGTTAATGATCCAGTAGTCTAAGTAGAAGTAATAATAATGTTTAATATTAATCTTTTATATATTTTAGAATCCACATCATAAATGAAAAATGAAAATGATCATTTTCTTCGGTAATGTTCATTATACTAATACTCTAAATCCGAAAGATTTTAGAAAGTTTTTATGTTCACGTGTTATTGGTGCAGACGTTTTTGTACAATTAACTGAGAGATTCATAATTAATAAGTTTCTTTCTTGATAAGGATGAAAGAATTTTAAAACCATATTTATAATATAAATAATTAAAATATTTGTCGATTAAAGCATTTAAAAGCACTCAGAACCAAGGTATAACTTTAAAAAAATGCTTAAAGAAAAGTTGTATAAGCTCAGATATCGTGAACACACAATATTTAAAATGCACGTTCTGTGTGTTGATTGAGAATTAAACCATAGATACATACAAATTAATGTTTGGGTTTAATTTACATTCCCAATTTAAAATACTGTCATTAAATTTGCTAGCTCGTTAAGTATTGGAAAATATTAACGTGAATATTTATAATTGGGAAAATAGATTGAACACAAAATATTAATTTGTTGTATGTATATGGTTCAATTCCCAATCAACTTAATAAAAATAACTAAAATGAATACACTATCTAACGTTAGTTCACCAAGCCATAGCCGTGACCACAACTGATGTAATAAAAGCAAATCGCACTGACACAATGTCATATGTCACAAACAGTCGTAAATCACAAATCTGCTTTACTGGTTGCCTGCGTGCTATAGTGCCTTTTAGTGGTGTCTAAATAAAGCAATCCGAAGTTTTCGCGCGGACATTCAATACGGATACATTTTGGAATAAATTAATGCAAGTTTCATTCCATCGAGGTTGGGCCGTATAAACTGACAATGCTGATATTATTCGTCTCTTGTTCACCCTAATGCTAATTCTCTGTAATTTTCATACGTACTTGTGCAAAACGTTGTTCAGTGGCTGACACTTTATACCTAAGCTTGTTTATTTGAATTTTTATGTTAAGTATAATCTGTATATAAATAAAACAACAAAAATATTACCTGCACTGTAAAAGTGTGACGATTTTATTTTAGGATCCAGGACACTTTTGACATCCCAATGAACTGGAGTTGGACTTCTTTGGCTCAAGTATAAATGCCTCGAATCGCTAGGAAGTTCTAAATATACTTCACTTAAATTAGAATTAATGTTTTTGGTAAGTGGCCTAAAATAATATATAAAAATAAACAAAAATTTAATAATTTGATAACATAGCTTAGATATGTCATGTAAATTAACAAAGAGGGACCCATAAAAAAGAATATGTTTCAATTTTAATTAGTATATTTTCTAATCATAGGTAAATTCCCCATCTTCATTTTCACAAAACTTTGATTTATTCCACCAGATATACAGGGTGACACATCAAAAACATCAAGGGGGACACCTACAATGAATACTTTTGACACTCGTGGCTCAACCTCCTAGGAGGGGTAGATGCTACCCTTAAAATCTTAAATAGAAAAGGAGGTAGAGTGGCACATCATTTTAAAGTGCGTTTAATTTTCTTTCCAATGGTACCCTAATTTATATTATCTTCTAACCAGCACGTTCCGAAAAAATGGCGTTTCAAAGTTACAGAAGTTTAAACGTGCCTGCACTGAGATTTTTGATTTTCAGTTTAGTATTTAAACAAACATTACTCTATCGAGATGAATAAAAGGAGGAATATCAAGTCTACACGTTTGACTTTTTATTTTTTTGATTACGTGACTTTTACAAAAATAACTTTTAATTTGCACAAGAAATTACAAAATACAAAGAATCTACTTGTACACTGTTTTAAAAAGTTGTCCATTGTACTGTAAACAGTAATAAAGTGTGTTTCCGAACTTCTCTTTAACATTTTGGAAAACTTCACCGGGAATTGACCGGCATGCTGCTGTAATTTGCCTTTTAAGATAACCAATACCAGCAGGTTGTGATTCATAAACAACGGATTTAAAGTGTCCCCAAAGAAAAAAGTATAAAGGAGTTTAAATCAGGTTATATTGGACCATTCAATTGCTCTCCTTCTGTCAATCCAACTGTCTGGGAATCTCTCGTTTAACCACTATCGGATGGGAAGAAAAAATGAGGTGTAGCACCGTCCTGCTTGAAATGTAACAGATCCTCCTTTAAAACTAAATTACCTTCTGCCTCAGTATGAGTTTCTAGTTCGTGAGTTATAAGTGGGTCAATAATCTCTTCAAGCATATTAAGGTACAGATCGTCTGCCAAGTTTCCTTCAATAAATAAAGGATCAATAATTGCATTTCCAAAAATACCACACCAAACATTAATTTTTTGCAGACGTTGTGTATGTCCTCGAATAATATGCGGGTTTTCATCACTCCAGTACCGATAATTTGGTTTATTAACATTGCCATTAAGAAAAAAATGAAGATTCATCGCTGAAACAGATATTAAGCAGAAGATTTGGTTTGACGTTGACTTGATCAGATATGGTTTCACAAAATTTTATTCTTCTATTAAAATCATCTTCGTAGATCTCTTGAAGTATCTGCATTTTATAGGGATGAAATGTATGCATTTTCAGTGCTCTTCTTACAATTTCTCGTGATATTCCCGTCTGTTCTGCTACTGTTCATAGGGAGCTAGTTGGCACTGCAACAAATGTTCCCAAAACCTCAATTTGAGCTTTTTCATTTAGTACCTATTTTTCACCGAACCAGTTTCCAAAACTTTGCTACCAAATCTAGAATATACCTGTGACTTACATTACGATTTCTTTCATTAAAAAGAAATGCTGCCCTTCGTGTGCATTTTCCAACCTCTCCACAAACGAAAATCATTTCGATTCTTTCCTCTTGAGAGTAAACCATTTTTGTAGTTTATTCACTTAATTAACGGTATCTCTGAACAGCCAAACAAGTAAAACTGGATTAACAATACTAATACTAAACAGTCAAACTATGCTAAAGTAAAATAAACTTGACAAATAGCCGCTATTTCAAGATTTAAAAAAAATATAAATAGCAAAAACAGCAGGCTATCTGTGGAATTTCAACAATAAAAAATAAAAAACCACCATTTGATAAATGCAGTCTAATTGCCATCGAAATTTTACTATTCGATTACCTTTAAATGTAAAAGTTTGGTGCCATCTAACCTTCTAACCATTTCTACTAAAAGGATATCAATCATTATTGTTTAAATACTAACATGAAAACTGACAATCTCAGTGCAGGCAATACAATCATTATTGTTTAAATACTAACATGAAAACTGACAATCTCAGTGCAGGCACTTTCCAACTTATGTAACTTTGAAACGCAATTTTTCGGAACCTGCTGGTCAGAAGATAATATAAATTAGGGTACCATTGGAAAGAGAATTAAACGCCCTTTAAAATAATGTGCAACTTGACCCGCTTTCTCATTTAAGATTTAAAGGGTAACATCTACCCCTCCCAGAAGGTTAAGCCACGAGTGTTAAAAGTATTCATTGTAGTGAAAAGTAATGAAAAGTAATGAAAAGTCACGATGAAAAGTAGTCAACCTTCATAGAAAACACCTAGTTAAATCTCCATCCTGGATGTTTTTTCAAAAACACTTGTGATCAATATTTGCATTTCTATTTTGGTTTTTTAGGCAAATCGTTTGTAAAATACTTCCAACCTTTGGATTTTTTTGGTAATTTTTTCACGAGTTTATTTTAATAAGATATGAAACGAAAATTCGAAAACATGGATAAAAGTCGGTAAATATTTGTTTTTTCGTCTTTTTTAAACTAAATTTTGCCTTTGTTTGCAAAAATTCAGACGAATTAGTTAATTTAATTTCGCGCATGCGCAATACACTTTTCCACTTTTGAAAAATGTGTTTGGAATAGTCAGCTTGTCAGACTATTCCGTCGGACTTCCGTTGACTTTTCATCACTAATTAATTTCAGGTGTCCCCTTGAAATTAAAATTGACGGGTGTTTGCGATTTTTTATATTATTTACTGGAAGGAAGATATTCAGAATTGTGTGAAGTTTTCATTGTACACCCTGTACATATTTATTGTTCAAATATTTTAACATACCTATAAGCAAACGCAGTGCAATAGGCGGTCAGACTGCTTCTCTGATAAAAGTCTTGTATTCTCTTTCTGTCAGTATTCGACAATGGAATTAAATCATGTCCATCCCAATAGTCGATGCAAGAATCCAAAATTATATCGGCTGTTCCTTCGGAAAGTAATTGCATATTCCCTGTAGACAATTCTTGAACAATAACAGCAAACATATGAGGAAAGGGGAATTTTAATTTAGTTGACAGTTGTAAAGATCGTGCATACTTATTATCTCGCCTCACCATTTCGGGTTGCTAAAAAAAGGTGAAAATGTGGTTCTGAATAATAGTACATTATACACTTAAGTTGAGAAGTGAGCTATTATTTACCAAGCTCTTTTATATCCTGAGGCGCGCGAGGTTTATAATGACCTTCTCAACCGAAGTATATATAGAATTTTTTTACTACTAACACTGATATATTACCATATTTAATTTGATTGGATTAGATTTTGATAAACTCAGCTTTAGTAATGTTCTACTCACTATTCAAATATTTCAAAATTAACAAAATGAACTAATGGAATTCAATTTTAATAATTGTTATTATACCACATATAATTCCAAAATAGCAAAATTGGTTGAGGGTACACGCATACATTTTTCTGTAAAAAATAGTTACGACACGAGGTGTAGGCAGTTGCTTTACAGTACAATACCAAAGAAGAGTATTACAATTTAATCCCATACAAATTTAACCGGAAGGAGCCCTGGTAAATATACTAAGACATTCATGACAAAGAAGTCGAAAAAGAGGTTATGAATCATTAAACACAGAGCTCTTTTCAAGAAAAAAATACAAACTTTCTTCATCGCTAGCTGATGATAATTATGGTATTCAGGAATTAGAACCTGACAATGAAAAACTTATTGAAGCCCAAAAAAAAGTCTTTTTACTTTTTATATCCAAAACTGATTAAGAAATTGCGGAAATGTAAATTAATACGAGAGGACAACCTTCAAATCCCACATGGAGAGAGGAAATATCATACTGGTTAATAGCGTCCCGATTTGGCGAAGTATATAAGTAACGGAAGACAACAATCTGTAAAAATTTAGTTAAGAATATATTAAATAATCAATTTACAGGCAGTGCAACAACAAAATGGGATAATGACCGCGAAGAACTAGCCAAACGACAATTTGAAGATGAATGAAATAAACGATAAATGAATGTGGCTTATATATTTTAAAGGAATATATAAGCGGATTTAGGAGCTAGTCCAGATGGAATAATTAATAAGGACATAATAATAGAAATCAAGTGTAATTACTCTGCAAGAAGATATTCTCTCCGTGCGCGACAGCAGCGCCAATTCGTTTTGGTACTAATGGACTATTTCTGCGTATACTGACAAATACAATTTTTAATAGAATTCATAATTAAAAAGTATATATGTTAGTTTTAATAAAAGTATATGGATTTGTAAAACAAGTAAAACATTAATTTATTATTATTATTATATATTTTTATCGCTTAAATTAAAGAAAATTATGTATAATTAATAAAAATCAATAATAAAATATAGGCAGGCAACAGTATTTACTGGAAAATGTATGAGAAGTTGCCTAAGTCTAATAAGTTGTCATTGAAGAATTATTCTATTCTGTCAAAATAAAAAAATACCATTTAATAATAGCGTGAAGTTAAAATGTATAAAAAAAAAGGATCGTTATTTATATTTTCATTTTGGTTCGAAAGAAATCATGGAATGAATGATTAAAACTGGTTTCCCATCAGTAAGTCACAAAATTGCATTCCAGCCACATATAATAATCAAAGGCCGAAATCTTGAAATCTAGTCCTTCCTGAATGAACTTTTAAGAATAAAGGGATATTAAAGAACATCGTAAAATGATAATTTATTGTTTTCAAGTTTCTGATGTCTACTATTTCCAGCATTACTGTTATTATTACAAAAATAAAGGTAATTTTTCATTTTATTGTACACCTATCCATTTAATTCTTTGATTTAATTTCCACTTTGCTATTGAAATTTTTTATAAAAGTTTCACCGTTTTTTTTGTTAGTATTTGCACAATTTTCAACACAGCAACTCCGGTTGCTTATTGTATTGTTTTTACCTACTTTTTTGAAAAAAAGTAAAATGTATACGCGTATTTGATATGCCAAAATTACAAAATATCTCCCTAAAATGCACGAATTATCCGCAGCCAGCGCTAGTATCGCTTTTGCTTCCCTTTCCATGACTTCGCACGGAGCGAATACACCATTCGAAGGGATACATGATAAAAAATAAAAAATAACTAATACTACCAAGTACAAAGGTAACTGGCAATAACTAAGGCCAAATATTGCTTTTTTTATAGTTTGGACGCCGGCCGTTAGAAACGTTGGTTATCCAAATAGAAAGAGATGAAAACATTTGGCAAAGTATACTGCTAAAGTTTGGGACATTTTATGTAGAATACATTCTTCTCAAAATTGTAAAAACTGTTCGAGAATAATTGGTAATTTGTTTTATTTAATATGTATAGGTAGGTATATAGGCCTGAATTGCCTGTAACGAACTGTTTTTATACACCAGTTCGTGAACACTGAACTCGAATGCCAATAACGCTTGTATCTCGCTCTTTATCGAACTGTTATTTTATTACGATTTACGTTTATTACAAATTTTTTCTTCTAATTTTGACATATAAAATGACATTTTTTGTAATCGCAGCCAGTGGCAAAACGATCTACTTTACGCAACTAGTTGCATAATTTTGAACATTATGAAACTGGTTTAGAAAAATTTATTATGTCATCAGTTGTGTAAAGAAAACAAATAAAAATAAACCTTTCATTGGTTTTTTAAATCAATAATATATATTAGTATTGAAAGCTCATATTAAAGCAGTTGACTTATAAAAATAAAATTTGATTAACCTTACAACCTAGTGATAATGTTGTTTTGATCCTTATTTTCCAGTTTAAATAAAAATAATTAAAACACAATACACGATAAAATAACTCACTTTTTTTGAAAACTAAATAACTTTTTAATAAGCCATTTAAAGACACTACCAGTCGTTGAGAATAAATAATTAATATTATTCCATTTGTCAATAAAATGATGCATATGCAACTAACAATACAATATAGTAGTAATATTGGTTGCCTAGATGTCAGTAATTTCTTACCAAAACACAATTTTATAAATAATCTAGTCAAAATTAGAAAAAAATATTATTGGTAACACGTTAAGAAATGCTGTTTCACATTGAGGGACCTCGCTCTGCTCGTACCGCAAATATTCACACGTTACATAAAATAAGGCAATTTCGTAACTGGTTTCATACATAGCTATTAAAAGCACAAAAAAATACAAAACTTCAAAATAAAAATTTCAAACCAAAAATTTTTTTTGTTTGCACTTTTGAATAAGATAATATGTACTTATCATGAAATTTTCATATGCTTTTATCTTGAAAATGGTGTGTCCTAGCGAGATGCAACGAAAGTAGCTTTATTATAAAGAACATTAATTTTCCAAATTTTGTAGTTAAAAATGTTAAAAACTGCAACAAAAAAAAAACAATTTTACCCTAATTTTATCCATCTATGAAGATGATCGAAAACTGGGGTTTAGTCAATTAAATAGAGCGTAAAAAGTTTAGCATTTGTACCTAATTTCACTTAGTTATATTTAAATGTTTAGAAAATATTTACAAAAAAACTTCACTTTTAACACCCTGTATCTGGAAACGAAACGTTTTCGGACCTATGTTTATAGGAACTTTTACTCCTATTTTAGGGTGTAGATTACGCTGTTAAAATATGACCGTCTAATTTCGGGACACCCTATATACGAACTTGACCAAATCATTGTGTCCGTCCTTCTCAAGATGCCTTGGCATTGTCAACTGTTAGATATTTAATAATAAATCATCAAGGTAGTTATAAAACATAAATAAACAGCAGAATAACGTTTATTATAAAAGTGTACCACTTCGAGAAATGTTAGAAGTGTTAAAATAGTATCACTTAGTTTTGTGATCTGTCCTCTTGTCTAGCAGGTACCCTGTCACTAACTTTGTGAAAGTCATGTGACCTAGTCTAGTGTTACATTTTTCTAGTGTGTTTTACAGTTTACAAACACCTAATCGTGTGTGGGAGTTTATCATTTTAAAAACAATTCGAGAAAAGAGGCTGCTGAAGTACTATCAAAGAATAGAAAGAGTAAATAAAAATTGAATGAAAAACATACCTTTTCACGTAATGATAAATGATAATATATACAACGCAGGCTAGTGAAAAGTGCACCCAGATTTTTCGAATTTAAAATGAAAATATTCTTCTTAAATCTAGATAGAACTTTTTTTCTACCTAATTCATCCTCGTAGTTTCAACTCCCTAGTGGGTGGAAGGACAATCCCTGAAATTTGAATAGGGAAGAGGGGTAATGTGATACCATTTTTTAAAACTCTCATCAAATACTTTAAGACCCTAGAATTCCGCGTCACTATTTGATAGCTCGAATAATTGGAAAAAAGGATGTTCTAAGATTTTGTAGTAATAGTCATTTTTCCTTTAATAACAATAGTATCTCAAATAAAAAATAATTATGTTTAAAGGGTCATACAGTTCTTTTAAAATTTGTATTTTTTAACCATAAATATTTATTTGAATATCTTCACACAAATTTCAAACTTACCAAATGTCGAAATGAAGACAACTGTTCTTCGAGAGTAAAAATTTTTTGTGCTTCGTCTACAAAACCTATTTCTTTGGCTAATTCACACAGACATCTTCTATTAGTAACTGGCACCAAGTTTTCATTATATATTGCCTCGCAGGTGATGTGTGAACAAAACGTGGTATAATGTTCCTTAAAAATTCAGATGATAGATTAAACTTGTCAATAAACATCTCTCTGGCAATATTTAATGTTTTGTTCAAGTATCAGATTCTTTGGTTCCTTATGTGAACGTAACTACAACATATATATGTTATATTTACATTCAAATTGATTTACCTTTGTATTTATATTGCACGTATTTAATAAAATAGCCAAACCGAGGGGTTTGAGGTTAGATAAATATTTATTCCATTCCTGGTCGTCAAAATGCAGTTTAAAAGGATCATTATTGTGATGTGTGAGATCAAGTACTTCAGTCACTGCACTTTTGGGACTCTCCGGTTGAAAATTTGGGAACATTGAATCTATGTCGCTTGATAGATCATTTACATTGTCCAAACTTAAAAAAAAAACTATATTAACGGAACAAAATAATCAGATTATAACAGTAAATTTAAGTAGTTTATACAGAGAATAATTGAAAAAAACAGTACACAATTCTTTTAAACATTCAAAATAAATTTAAAAACATTTATATAAGCGTATTGGTGGATTATGGCGACCATAATTTGTTAAATGCCTATTTTCACATGACAATTTCTGGTTCTTGATCCAGCATTAAAGTGAACGCTGCATTGTCAAATTATCTCATGTGAAAAAAATCTCGGAACTAAAGAAATACATATATGATCAATTCTTATAAACATACATACAAAATGTCATTAGTGGATTAGATTAGCGATAAAAAACAACTCACAGATAACTTAAATGCATTGCCTTGTAACTTTATCCCTGTTACATGATTCATTTTAACCCAATTTCGGATATAAATACATTTGGCAGAGCTGGGGAGGATTCGAATCACATAGGATCCGCGAGCGGTATTCGAATACTTAAGAAAAACAGGATCCGTGATCCGGATTCGCCGAGAAAATTCTTAAGGATTCGTATTCGAATCACCAATATTAGTCTCGGATCCTTTTAGAGACCAAACTACGCCTGCGCGAACGGTCGACTCACACTTGTCGCGAAGTGAAAAATGAAATAGACCGAGACCGATTGTTAAGATTTAGAAAGCACCTAAACAATTTTGAGTTGAAACCTATGCCATACTTCTAGGTTATTTTAAGGCTATTTTTATACCCTATTCAAAAATTTTATGCTCCTCATTTTTTTTGCAAAAATCAAGGTTCTCTGCTAGCTTCGAACGAACCCAGCAGAGCACCTCGGTTTTTTAAAGCTTTTTTTCTAAAAACAACCACACCGCATTTTTAGCCTATTTTTAGGATCTTGAAATGTTATAAAACTTTACTAAAAATTGCCATTTTTAAATAATACAGGGTGCTTTGTTGGAACAAAGTTAGCAGAGCACCTCGGTTTATTTATTTTTTTTTCTGGAAACAACTATTTATGTCACATGTTTAAGCTATTTTTAGGCTCTTAAAATATTACAAAATTTTTCGAAAAAATAGTGTTTTTTTTAAAAAATACAGGGTGCTTTGTTGGACCAGATGTACTTTGCTAGCTTCGTTCGAAGCTAGCAAAGCACCCTGTATATTTTAAAAATAATATTTTAAGAGCCTAAAAATATTGTGTCGTAAAAAACTTAAAAACTGAGGTGCTCTGCTGACTTTGTTCAAAGCTAGCAGATCACCTTGATTTTTGCAAAAAAAAATAGTAGCATAAAAATAGCTTTAAAATAGCTTAAAAATTTGGCACAGGTGTCAACTCAAAATTGCCTAGGTGCTCTGCTGCCTTCTTTGACATTACAAAATAACAATGAATATCCAAAATAAAAAAAAATCCTAAACTTTAACACTTGTCTTCCTTCGTCTGGTGCAGTATAACGATTATTTTTGTTTGCAGGTATAATCGACGGCTTTGAAATTTTGGGTGCTATGTAAGGCCAACCAAAAGACATTTTTATTTAATTGTTTATTTTGTTATGGTTCATATTTATAGAAAAAAAAAAGTAAGTTTATTTTTTCAACATCATCTTGTATCAACCATTTGTATGCAAGTCATAGTCCGCAATAGACACATAGTTGATATTGATATTAGATTCGAAAGCATACATAATACCATGGTATAACACTGACAATGATTCGTATTCGTGATCCGAAAAAATGGATTGGAATCACTTGATTCGAATCCTTTTTTATTGCAAAAAGGATTCGGACATAGGATCCGTGATTCGAATCACACCTCGTGATTCGGATTCGTGATTCGAATCAATTTTTTGAGGATTCGTCCCAGCTGACATTTGGAATGTTATAATAGGTGCTGTAAGATTTATTACTGCCATTAAGTTATATTAGAACAAAAAGTGTTAGTATTGCATAATTATAAGTGTTTGTCTATAGGTTGTTGTGGCTTTGACAATAAACATATATTTATTAATTGATCGATTGATATGTAAGTACGGCATGTGTCACAAATGTTAATCAAATTCGGCTTTGCAATCAATGTGTTAAAACTAGCCAAAACTGAAAACTACTGATATAATTACCTTGATGAACGTGAATCATTATGATTGTGAAGAAAAAATATTTTTTCTGCTGTGGGGTTTGGCCAAGATAGAACTCCCTTTTTATCAATACAACCCAATGCCTAAAATATATATGTATTATAAATTTCGTTTTTTTTTTCTATTTTAAAAATAATTTCTTATAACTTACAGTAACTGATCCAAACACATGTAAAATATTAGTAGACCTTGTGAGAATTTCTGGTTGTCCTTTCAAAATTTTCCAAAAATTCAATAAAATATCTTTTCTACTAATTTTTAATTTGCTGTCTTCGACTGGCATCAAATCAGCATCTTCTTCCAATTCGTTAACTGTATAATCGCATTTAGTGGAGGCATCAAAAACGGTTTTGATTCTAGAAATATAAAAAAATATGGTTTATAATTTCACCCACTCATGCTTTATAATAAAATTAAAATAATGTTATAGACACTTTTGGTCTCGCGGTTCTTTGCCCGCGCATCATTAATATTCTACAGGTTAGGAAAAAGGTATAACAGCCAAAGGATATAGACTCGGCGAGTGCACGGATATTTTCCGGAATACAGGGTGTCCCAGAATACGGGGGCAAACCCCCGGATTCAGATAGAACACATAAAAATAACATGACAAGTTCCTATACATTTTTTTCCTACGACACTCCTTTTTTGGAGATATGGTTCCATAATGGACACCAATGAAAATCTTTTTTTTTATTAAATAATTTTCAAAGTTTTTGGTATAATCATTGTATTTAGATCAACTAGTAGAACAATGCCAATGCAAATTATCTTGGAGGACAATGGACAGTATCAATCGATACCAGCAAGCTCCGTGGTGTCGTCTTCTCTATTTACTAATAGATGGAACGATAGTCGATTTAGAATATTTGTTTTAAAAATGAGATATACGAGTTTAATTATGCTTGATGAACATATATTTACGATTTATCATCATTTTAGGGTATGTAAAAAATATTAATTTAAATTTAGCAGATGACAAATGAATTTAAAAATTAAGAAAACTTTATGTATATAGAATTCTATACTCAATGATCGAGGAGAGCCTCGCACACAAGCTATTTTGATGAAGTTCTGTACAGTTCTAACAGATGTCGCGACAGAATTGCCTCCAATGAAACGTCCATAAGGTTGATCTACTAGGATATCTAAATACAATAGTATAATTTAATTTTTTTTAAATATGATGAATACTAGATAATTCTCCGTAAAATGGTCTATTTTAAATACATTTGATTTATTTAGTTTGCCAGGAATGGTACTATAACAGAATAATGCTAATATTTTTTACATCCTGTATAATAAAAACACAATTTTTGGACAGCTTGACCCTTAAACTAAAAAAAAGTACTCTTGATCAATATCGATAAAATGTCATGCTTTCATTGAAAATGGTTTTTTGCATTGGTTGTCACTGAAAAAAAATCTTTTTTGTTGCTATGGTTTTTTGACATGTGCCAATTTAAATAAGACTAATTTATGGCAGTGTGCTAGTGTCAGTTGATAATAGTGTGCTGAAATTTGCGATCTTTCTTCTTCTTCACCTCATTAATTAATACAGTAGTAATGCAATTTACGATTAATGAATATACTGACATGCATTCAATGTATGAGTTTGCATCTTGTAATACTTTAGAGGCCAGAAGGCTTTATGAAGAACGATTTCCACAAAATTGATCGAAAACATTTGATCGAATACATTTGATCGAATGCATTTGATCGAAAAAACATTTTATCGAATAATAATTGATCGAAATGAAAAATGATCGAAAAGAACAATGATCGAAAAAAAAATTGATTGAAAATAGATTTGATTGAAAAACATACATGTTATAGTGTACAGTGTCACGAAGCCGCCAAGAACATTAACCTTTGCTTCCCATAGATACAAGTGTCAGTTTGCTTAATAGACATTTTAAAGTTTATTCACATTTGCACTTTTATAACATATTGTTTTATTTCATTTTAATTACATTCAGTCTAGAATCCGATTTTGTTCATTAAACACCTCTATTTTGTAACACAGTTTTTATTTTAAATAAATTATTTTTTAAAAACTACCTTACGGCATTTTTGAATTTAAGTGGCGCAGTCAGTAGGATAGGTCAAACGAGATTAGTGAATATAATTTTCGGTTCGTATTAACGATTCATTGACCTATTCGAACATATACCGTGTGTTAGGAAGTTCCAGTTGGGTGAACTGAGTAGCTCAACGAGAAGACATCAAAAGGACATTTGATACTTCGGGAATAGGAAGAAAGAACACTACAAGTGAATATTGTGGCATCTTTCGCTGGTTCTACGCATGGAAGGAATATTAATTTTGCTGTAAGTACTTATGTCATATAGAGGTAAAACTAATCAATGTGCTTCAGATTGTTCTGAAAATTCAGATAATAGTAGCACAGATTCTGACTCAGACTCCCCAAAGTCTTTAATAAATTCTATAAATTCTATAAATATTGCTAAAATTTTAAAAGATAATCAAAAATTAAAAATGGCACTACTAAAAAAGGAATATTTAGATATGATACCCGAATTTCAAGGGGATACACAATTACTTCCTAGATTTTTAGAAATTTGTGAAAAATTAGTCAAAAAATTTTATAATGCAGCTGATGTTAACGATTTTCAGAATGAATATCTGATGTCAAGTATCTTAGCAAAGATTAAAGGTGAAGCAGCTGTTAATATTTCATCTTGCACAATATAAAATTGGGCAGATTTAAAAGGTGCTCTATTAAATACTTATTCTGATAAAAGAGACATGTTTACGTTAAATATAGAGATGGTACAAACCAAACAAGGTAATGAATCGCCTTTTGATTTTTTTAATAAAATACAGCACTTATTAAATCTTCAAATTTCTAATATAAAAGCTCATACTGCTGGGCATGAAATAGTTACTTTATCAATTTATTGTCGTAATTTGGCTCTCAGAGTATTGTTACGTGGTTTAAAGGAACCACTGGGTTCACTTATGCGCACCAAAAATCCTGCAGATCTAAATTCCGCGTTAAATATGTTAACAAATGACTTCCAAAACAATATTGAAGGTTTAAATACTTATAAGGGTAAATTTGTGCCTAGGAATAGTTTTCTTGAAAATAGAAACACAAATAAACAATTACAAATCACTAATTTTTCTCATAACTCTCAACCGCCTGTTAGACAAAATTATTTTGATAATCCATCACAACCTAATACTAGTAAAATAAATAATAATACTAATTTTGATAAAAGGACAAATATATTTAAGCCAAATCCAAATCAAACTTTTCCGAAACCTACTCCAATGAGTACGTCTACAAGAAATACATTTAGGCCTTATCAAAATCCAAATTATTTTAGACAAAATCAAAAATTTTTTGTTGAAGAATTACACACTATAGATGAGCAACCAATAGTTGAAATTCCTGAAGATACCGAAGACAATTTTTTAGGGAAAATTGCCTCGGAAAAAACAGAATAAAAAATTTTGAATTACTTAATTTAACAAACAATGAAAGCCAATTACCCTACATAATTTTCCCGGAATTTGATTTAAAGGTTCTTATCGATACAGGATCTACCAGATCATTTTTATTACCTGAAACTGCTGACATGTATTTTAAAAAAATTCGAACCTTTTCAAATTTCGACCGCTCACGGTACTACACAGGAAAATTATTGTACGGCAATGCCTTCATCAGAAATTTTTGGATACAAGAAACCAATTTACCTAAAATATTCTATATTTAAATTTCATGATAAATTTCAATGTTTATTAGGGCTCGATAACCTAAAAAAGTTAAAGGCTAGTATTGATTTAAATAAAAATTTATTGGTTACCCCTAACAGTAAAATAAAAATTCATTACTACAAGGTTCCTCAGAGCATGAATTGTATAGTAGTGCCTCCGAGATCTGAACAAATAATTAAAATAAATTTAAAAAACATCAAAAATGGAGAGGTTATGATACCTTATACGCGAGTTTCAGAATTAGAAATTCCACAATGTATAACTGTAGCAAAAAATAATACAGCTTTATGTACTATTTTAAATAAAACAAAATCAAATATCACAGTAGATTTAAATGAACCATTGGAAGCAGAATTGTTCGATGAATACGATCCAATTCAATCTCCCAATTTTAATAGTTTTAATGCCACAAAAGTAAAATTTGATATTTCTAAAGTTCGTACTGAACATATGAATTCAGAAGAACGGCAAACAATGTTAAAACTAATAAGAGAATATTCCGATATTTTTCATGTAGACGGTAATAAATTAACATTTACCAGTAAAATAAAACATGAGATAAAAACGACTGACGAGTTACCCGTGTACACTAGATCGTATAGGTACCCTGAGGTACATCGTAAGGAAGTTCAAAAACAGATTCAAAGTATGTTGGATCAAAATATTATAAGGCCTTCGACCTCACCATGGAGTTCAAGTATCTGGGTTGTAAGTAAAAAACCCGATGCCTCTGGACAACAAAAATGGCGGATAGTTGTCGATTATAGGAAATTGAATGATAAAACTATAGGCGACAGATATCCCCTACCCAATATTACAACCCTGCTTGACAAGCTAGGACGATGTCAATATTTTTCAACGCTTGATTTAGCGTCGGGTTTTCACCAGATTCAAATTGCAGAAAAGGACATACCCAAAACTGCATTTAATGCGGAAAATGGCCATTATGAGTTCTTGCGCATGCCCTTTGGACTCAGAAATGCGCCAGCGACTTTCCAAAGAATAATGGATAATATCCTACGTGGGATACAAAATGAATCCTGTTTAGTCTATCTAGACGATATTATAATTTTCAGTACTAGTTTGCAAGAACATATAACCCGCTTAAAAGAAGTATTTGATAGATTAAGAAATTCAAATTTTAAATTACAGTTGGATAAATGTGAATTCTTAAGAAAGGAGGTAACATATTTAGGCCACATTGTTACCCCTGAAGGTGTAAAACCAAATCCTGAAAAAATAATCGCTATTAAAAAATATCCGATTCCCAAAAATACAACCGAAATTAAAGGATTCTTAGGACTTTTGGGCTATTACAGAAAATTCATTCAAAATTTCTCAAAAATTACTTTACCGCTAACTAAACGTCTAAAGAAAGGAGCTGTAATTAATATCACAGATCCGGACTATGTAGAGTGTTTCGAACTTTGCAAAACACTTTTAATTAACGAACCTATCCTGCAATATCCTGATTTTTCGCAGCCGTTTATTCTGTCTACGGATGCAAGTAATTTTGCAATAGGGGCTGTTTTAAGCCAAGGAAAAATCGGCAGCGACTTACCAGTTGCTTATGCTAGCCGAACTTTAAATAAATCAGAGATTTCTTACTCCA